CTCTGCTGTCGCATGGCGCGCGATGTAAAAAAAATCCAGACTCAAGCAGCTCTGTGCGATGTGAAAAAACATCCAGACTCGATCCTCGGGCTGTTTGTGCTCGGCTAGAGTGGCTGCGCACGCGGAAAAAGGCATCGTAGCCTCCAAAGAACGTGCAGTAAACGGTGGCAGGCCTGACTTATAGTCCAGTCACGTCAAGTGGCTTGGGTCAAGCAGTGTTGCCCGCCGCAACAAGGTCACCGAGTCCATTCTCAACTTAGAACGTACAAAAATGCTAAAACATCTAGCGCCGTAGCGCTAAGCCCGAAAATGGAAAAGCGAAAACGGCTCCTCGCCCTCCGCCTAAGCTGAGCGGCGCTGGGGAGTGGCAACCAGGGAGCTTTAGAGTGCGTGTCAATGAACGGCTAGTATTTGGGGTTTAGCATTAAGGTCCGGGAGGCAAGTGGTCGATTACCCTTTCACGCAGCTGCAGGCAAATAGGCATGCGCTGACCGAACAAAGTCTGCAAGCCTGATTGCCGCGCGAGGCAGAAATGCATGGAAGAAGCCGCAAACGCTGCCATGCCACAGCGCTTGTAATAGACTTAAGAAGCCAAGAGAAACCGTGCGAGAGAAGTTGTCGTTGCATGCTCGCAGCATCATGAAGCGAACGCAGATATAGCCAACGCTTAAGTTTCGGCTTGAGCTAGACGAGTATACTTTGAGCTTTCAATCGCCTCACTACTTCGTATCCAAAGTCGCTGTGGGGCGCACAGAGCGAGCAGGTATTAGGTGACTTGTTCTTGCGTGACGCGATCAGAACGAATATCTGGACCGAGGCAAAACCATGAATCGCTTCTCGCGGTACCCGTGGTTCGCCGATGAGGATGCGGAGTTACCTGTGAAAATTGCGGTAGCAACTTAAAAACTCAACCTATATTCGCAATGGCTGTGCGAGAAGCCAGCCAATCATGCGAAGCCTTCGTTAAGGTTGACCCTGAGCCCATCACTGGCCCGAGTTGCAAGGAGACGCTGGTCTGCATAGGAACAGCGTACCAGCACGAACACAACACGTTGCTTCTGAAACGATTAGGTGCTGGGCTCGGCGCACATCGTGGGGAACACAATCGGCAACCTGGCTGGCAGATGATGCGTTGTTGACGTAACAGGTGGACATCCTCGCTCGATGCCAGTGGCAGGTTCGAGGCCGCAAGCGCGGCCGAGCCCGAGGAGTTCTCCACCGTCGGGAAACCTGACTCGCTCTGCCGGCCCTGCTCGCTTGCGCCCCGTGTCCAGCATAGAAGCGACGCCACGCCACGCTGGCAGGGTTTTTGAATGATGACGGGCGTTGGCAGAAAACAACGTTGACAACTGACTCGCGTTCAGATGCTGCCTCGGACACGTTAAAGACACTTAGTTCTTCGGGTCAGCCGCAAGGCCAGAACTGGCCATCGCGTTGAAGGACGATCGCGCTCGGTCCCTCCTCTGAATAGGAGCTGATCATTCGGTAGTGAGCGCGAGGTTCGTTTCCATTCATACAAAAGTGTGCAGGTGGCAACAAGGCGCAGCCAAGAAGGTTTCGCAAACGCTTGAACAAGAATATCTGCAGAAGCTGATCCATGCAGAGTCCGGGTCTAAGTGCAAAGTGTTTTAATGCAGTAATAATATTCCAGCCACTTCCACGTGCAGGCGCAACTTTGGACAAGAGAGCACAATGAAAGACTTCCGTGTCAAGTCCGGACCTTATCCAGAAAGACTCAAAAAAGCACCATCAGCAAGCGCTCCACATGAGGAACTATTGCGTGGGCTCAGAAGACACTGCCTTCAATGCTTACATCCGCGTAAGGCGCACGTTTAGAGTGTGAATATGATGCGTTTTTTCTAACATGGCACGCCATGGGTCTCTCATGCTGCCGCAAGGGTCAAGAAGTATCTTGAAGGCTTGTACATGGCAAAGATACAGGCCGGAAATATATCTCTGGAGAATATGGTGCGATCATTGCTACTTGTCTCAGGCTCACCACGACTTCGAAAAACGGACCATTGCTTTGCTCGATTTGGACGTGCCTCGTGATCTCCGATGTTACTTTGGCTTGACGCCTAAACAAGCAAGCCTGTTTGTCTGGCGCCTAAGCATTGATCTCAGGGGATTACATTGGCTTTGGCTTCCAACAAACCACGACCCCGCTGGTCCCCACTTGGGCTCGACCGAGCAGATGGTGTTTCTTGTCTTGAGCAAGGTAATTGAAACGTCATCATGTAACTTCGAAAGGCTTGACATTGCCACTCCCGCCGCAGGCAACAGTTTGATTCACTGCATCTGGAAGCGCTGCCAGTTGACAACAAGTGACATTCCTGCCTCCAAGGCCTTCTGACTCCGCGTCCGCAGCCAGAAATTCGTTCGCAGTTATGCGCCGCGCAGGACATGCGGTCCTGGTCCCGAATCAGTCGAACAAAGTGGTACAAGGGCTATCGCCGCTGTCGAGGTTCTTTGAGCGCAAAGAACTCGTGCTGCAAGCGTGTGTTTTGCTATGGGTGCAGGTGCACTCGCGGGAAGCCCGACTGCGCATCTTCGTGTCAAGGATTTGCGAGCAGGCGACGAATTGCTTCAAGGGTCCATACGTCTAAAAAACAGTGCTACATATGCGTGCAGCGCAGAAGGAATGGCGCCGCTGCACAATGAAGCACGTGAAGAAGGTTGGCGAACTAGTCCGTCTTCATGTGTGCTGCAGAAAGATCACGTTCTTCTTCGCAGGACAGAGCACCAGGTTCGTGGACACGTGTCTCATCGACAGCCTCAGGTGCTTTGGTTTCAAGATTCCTTACACCAGCAACGGTCCATTTTGGGCCCAAGCCGACGGGAACCGGTTCCTGGCACCGCATAAGCCACTCAGCTGCACGAGACTTATTCTGCGATGTCAGACCTCGCGCATAGAGCATATGTGGCAAGGCGCTGCTTGACTGCTGTGCCCGTTCACGCCTTGGCCTGCAACGGCAATTTCGTAATCTGCTTCGACCACCACTTTGTTGCTGTTCGCAGAGACTCAGAGGGTCTCTGGGTGAATCTAAGCCACAGAACGCATCAGTGGAATCCGATGCGTTTGTGTAGCGGGCGTGGCGTGCCGCTTGCGTGGTCCGAAGAGCAAATGTACTATGAGCTTCACTTCGCCGAACTGGACGGCGTCTTCCAAGTTCAGGTCCGAGTTTCGTTATTTCAGTTGTACATGGTTGTGGATGAAGTTGTCTTCGCGCTTGTCTGCAGGCGTCTACCGAACATTCCAACTCACACGCGAGCGATGTCAAGGCAGCCGGCGCGCAGCTTCCGGTATGCAGTATCTTCCTGATGCGCCCGCGTTCATCTTCCTCACACGTTCACGTTCTCATTACACTTGCTAGCCGATGTCAATGTCACATAAGGAGCGAAATGAAGGATGCGCTGCAGGACGGTTCCCTCAATCTTAGCGTCGCCCAGGCGGGCGTGATGTCAGAGAGGATCACGTGTGCTTGGAAGTAAACGCAAGCGCACGCTGCCGTAAAGGCCTCCAGCAACCCGTCGTGCAATCCATGGCGTCGGAGGATCGTCAACAAGCTTTAAGAAAAGGCGAACCAACATGCTAGACAATTCAAACTTCTCACCACTTGTGCGGTGTCAGGATGCGATCAATGATGGAGACGCCTATGCCCAAGCCGCCCGCGTTCATCTTCCTCACACGTTCACATTCTTATTACACTTGCTAGCTGATGTCAATGTCACATAAGGAGTGAAATGAAGGATGCGCTGCAGGACGGTTCCCTCAATCTTAGCGTCGCCCAGGCGGGCGTGATGTCAGACAGGATCACGTGTGCTTGGAAGTAAATGCAAACGCACGCTGCCGTAAAGGCTTCCAGCAACCCGTCGTGCAATCGGTGGCGTCGGAGGATCGTCAAGTAGCTTTAAGAAAAGGCGAACCAACATGCTAGACAAACTTCTCGCCACTTGTGCGGTGTCAGGACGCGATCACTGACGGAGACGCCCATGTCCCAGCCAGCAGACAGCAAAGACGTGTGGGCACGTCGCTTAGGAATGACCGTTGATGAGCCGTGGAAGAAACGTATTCTCGGAGCATTTATGGCAGACTTGGAAAACCATTGTGGGGAAGTGCCTGAGCCGCGGACATTGCCTCCCTTGCTATCAGACCAACAGAGAGAGACTTGTCCCCGAATTTGTCTTGTCGTCCGTCGGCTACTGTCATGGGTGAGTGAATGGCCGACACGGAGAAATGCACTGATCCTCTGACAATAGACGCAACTGGTGCAAGGAGTGGGCTCTATTCCGAGCAGAAGTTGCTCAACAAAAGGCCAAGGTGCTTTTGGCAGTCTTCACAGTAACTTTGCTATCACGCACGTTAAAGTTCGTGCGTTCGTTGCTGCAGTAGAAACAGCTGAAGGAAGTAAGCGAAAAAGAACGTCTTCGCTCAGAAAAGCAGGCCCGCTGCTAGACACTAGTGCGCTTGACTTGAACTCTTTTTCATAGTCAGCAAATACGTTGTTTCTGCACATTGCTTAGCAGGCTAAGTCTCGTCTGGAGGAGCGCGGAGATAAGGCTCGAAGTGAAAAAAGGTCAAAGTTTAAGATCAAGACTTGTTCTTGTGAATGCTTGAAGTGGATGTGACGATTGTCGCGCAAGTCACGCAAGACTTGAATCACTAGTCTATCATCGGTGCCCGTGAGGTTGTCATCCTTCCTCCGGACGGAGCGTTCCAAACGCTATTTCTTCCTCAAGCGTCGCATCTGGAACAGTTCACCAAGGATTGGAACTACGTCCTCATTCGCCGCAAGAATGCAGCTTTTTTGCCAGAAGCGTTTGCGAACGCACCGCCGGAGGACGGCTACTCCATGCACCCGCAGTCACCTTTACTTTCAAAATTTGGTTTTGGTGCAGAGCATGCGCGGGCAGATTGTTTGGTTTATTTGCCCGCATATCGTGTCGCGTGCTGGGGTCTTTCCCCAAAGGATGCGAATGCGTTGGCGCATGAATTTGTCATGCTCCTCGAGAACGCCGTGGCTCAAGATGTCCAAGGAGGATCGTCCCTGCAGATGTACTGGAGAATGTTTGATGGGTTCATTGTCCAAGAAGACGCGTTGCGTCGACACTATCTACCGGTCAATAGAAGCTTACAGAGCATGGCCAGAAGCTTTTTGACGGTCAAGAACGCAGCTTCTTTTTTTGTTCACGGGCCAGGACGCTTTTTGTCGTCGCAAAGCTTTTGGCAGTTTGTGCGAACGTTCCCCGTCGACTTGCAGTGGGAGATTTGCCTGGCGCTAGGCGAGAACAAACTTCTGGTTTGTGCTTTGCCCGTCGCCGTGGCAGAGCCAGGCGTGTCTGGCCACTTGGTGCATCCACCGTTGGAGGATGTGGAGCTTGCGCTCTTGTCTCTAAGCCTTCCGCTTCGACAACAGCTACTTCACTATCTAGACTTGTGGGATTTGGCTCGTGCTGTTTCAACGTGCGCGGAGTTGCAAGATGTTATCATGAACAGCGACTCTTGGAAATGTGACAGCACGCTTTATCTACGAAGTTTGCCTTCGCAAATATTCTTTGCTGCGTCGCCGACGTACCACTTGAATCCAACGGCGTACGCGAGTCTGCGCTCCGTGAATCCACTGCAAGGTCACGCTTGCATTGTCATGTCGTGGGGTTGCCAGGTTGACGCACTTGTGATCGGTGTCACGAACGCATTCGTTTCCAGAATGTCAGACGCGGAAGTTCAACACCTTTGCTCTTGTACAATCACTGCTCCTTTTCAAACAGAATGCAAAACCTGCATTAGGTGGACGGCTTCTAAGCAACCGCCAATAGACGTATCATGTCCTTTCCTGGTTGCAGATCGATGTGTGCGTGTCTTGGATCTAGCTTGGCAGCAGCATTCGCTCAGACTCAAGGTTGATGGTCGAACGGTGCGTTCTGTCGACATTTCATGTGTTGGCTTGCAGCGCGATGCCTATGTCTTCCTATACTCTATCGGAGAACAAGTGTGCAAGGACAACTTGCAGATGGCCTTCGCAGAACGCCGACGTGAGCATGTCAATGACCTTGCAGGGGGCTCCGATGCGTTGAAGCCGACAGATCCTCTGTCGTGTTTGTCGCAGAGTCTCCAAAGGGAAGTCATTATCAACATTGCCACGACACGCGAGCTGCTGTGCTTGCGAGCTTGCAGCAAATCTGCGTCTGAACTTCTGCGAGAGGATTCACTGCTGCGAGGCTCCGTAGTCGACTTGCGAGACGCAGGTGCGCAAGCATTTCGGCCCGGAAGTGCTTTTAGTTTTTTGATGGCTGTCCTTGCTCAAGCAAAGGTCATCAAGCTGCAGTATCGACACATACATGCTGTCCCGCCGACTTCAACGTCCAGAGTCCTCCTTGAATGGTCAGGACACACTTTCCTTCGGCGCGAAAGCGACTTTTGTTCTTGGCGCGCTCTGCATCCTGTTTATCAGCGTGCCAGCTTGGACATTGCAGTGTCTTCAGATATTCGCACTTTGGTCCTTGGCATCAAGAACCTAGTTCGAAACAGCCCGCCCTCTTCCCGAATGTGGGCTTCTATACAAAATCCATTCGGCTCAGACCCTTTACTAGCAACTCCAGGGGAGGAAACGTTGACTCCATGCGATATACCTCCGCACAGAGGTGTTCGCTGGCTTAACGTTTGCATGGAGTGGAATGCAACCTATTTCGCAGTCTTTCTCGACGATGTCCCACTATGCCACGTTGACACGCCAGTTGACGAACGCGTTATTTCAAGTTGGGCTTATCCTTATGTCGTGTCGTGGGCACCTCGCGAGTCTTCTCCTCTAGTAGTGATAACAACAGCATTTTCGCGACCGGAAAATACGGCAAACCCTGATTGTACAATTTGCGCTTCACTTCATCGCGGTCGGCCAGCGCACGCATGCTGTCTTGCTTGTCAACACTGGTTTTGCGAAGAGCATGGTTTCTCTACAACTGCAGCGCAAGTATGTTTGGGCTGTATGGATGAGCTTCACTTTGAAGACCACGTAGGTGGAACGAGTGGTTCTCCGTCTGCAACATTTCTCGATACAAAAAGATTGCAAGCCCTGCGAAAGCAACAGCTTTGCATACCTTCCAGTCCAGGTGCGGCTGTGTCTCTAGCCAATAAACTACTACAAACTGAAATCCGCTTGAGGTCACGAAGCCCAGCAAGGCGCGCGAGAAGCTTCAACAAGCTGTGTCGAAGGTCCGAAGTGCATGTATCCGAACCAGAGTCTGACGAATGGGACTACAATGAGCATGTGCTTCGCGCGAAGAAAGTCTTGGCCAGCACGGAGTTCTCCACTTTTCCAGCCACGTCGCCTCCGCCAGGATTAACATCTCTGTGTGATCATGGGCTGGAAAACCTTTTGCCGCCGCAAATCCGGCTGTCGAGTTTGCCCAGGCCAGTGCTGACATGCACGCCTGTGATTTTTGATGTGGAGCATCTCAAAGTACCTCCTATCTTTGATCATCTCAGTATCTTGCACAGTCATGAGCGTGATCAACATTTGGTCTTCCAAGAGGAAGGGCATCGCTACTATTGGAAGAATGGAAGGTGCATCGCTACTACTGGCTTGATTGAAATTTGTTAACATTTCAGTAACTGGCTTGATTCATTTGCTTACTGGCGGATTTAAAGAGCAAGACGTCATCAGGAGCATGCGTCAAGGGAGTAATTGGCCTCGTGCTGCATACGTGAAGCCGTATGCATCGCTGGAGCTTCTGCAGATTCTGCAACAAATTCCCGGCACGGAACAACTGGTCAGTTTGTTGCAACAGCTGCCGCATGATCGCGCTGCAGTTGCCAATCTCGTTCGGTCCATGATTTATTCCGATGCCGTCTACAACGAACTGGCGGATATCGTTTCTATGACTTCCTCAGAAATATGCCACCTTTGGGCGCAAGCACGCCGCGTTGGTGCGGCGCGAGGAACTTGGATGCATGCGCAGATAGAATGTCTGCTTAATGGCGGCTGTGTCACTTCTTGCAGCTTGGAGGTAGCAAAGTTTTTGCGGTTTGTCGCTGAGGGCGGATTCGGGAACACTTCTGCGTTTCGCACCGAATGGAAGATATACGCTTCTGAAGAATCTCTTGCAGGCTCAATAGATTTTGTGGCACGTGCGCCCGATGGCGCTCTGGTCTTGTTTGACTGGAAGCGTGCTAACAAGTTGTGTGAGAAGCACAACTCGTTCGGCAAGTTCATGAAGTCGCCCATGCACCATGTCCCGGATGCATCGCTCTGGCATTACCGACTGCAACTTAATCTGTACAAATTCATCTTGGAGAGATATTACAACCTGCGTGTCGTTGGAATGCATATCGTGTCTTTCCATCCCGACAGTAGCACATTTGTTGACAAGGTCCCGGACATGCAAGCGGAGGCAAATGCTATCATGACATATCAGCGAAACCGTTTGGCAAACCAAGCTGGTGAAAAAGAGAGAGATTTCCGTGGAGGGGCAGCGGCGCCCAGTCAAGCCAGTGAGGCGGACTCCTTCACGCAACGCATCGAGCAGGAGTTTGAGGATGCACTTGTACCGTCACCTGAGTGTTGCAGGGTGGATTCAAGTGGGCGGCGCGACCATGTCGCCAAAATTCTTGAGATTGACGACGCATTTTTGCTGAACGGTGTTGTTCCAGACCTTCCGCAGTCGCAACAAGGCAGTATTCTCCATGACATCCAAGAAGTTCAAGAACTTGTTGCCGCGCATTCTGACTCTTCCTCGTGGCCGGAGCCCCTCCAGCATGTTGTGCAAGGAGCTATCTCTGTGCATCGCTTGCGTTTACTGGACATCTCACGTCGAGAGGAAGTTCTTTTTCTTGAGCTTATTGAGGGAAGTTCTCGACATGTGCGAGCTCATAACGGCCAGTGTTTCTTTCTGAGTGAACATGGCCACTGGGCCGTGTACAACGGCGTTATTCCTCAGGGTGTCCTTGCCAGATGCAAAAAGTTTTTGCTCTTCCTTGAAGGTTTGTACAGACTCCTACCGACTGGAACACTGCGCACCCCGGACTCTATCATCCGAGCAGTATCAGTCTTGTTGCAGGGTCGGAACGACAACGCAGATTTCCTTCTTCAAGAATGCGAAAGAGCTGCTATTTGCGGTAATCCTCACGCTGCGAAGCGCCGCAAAACAAGGGCGGACGTGGAAAATGAAAACCGGGATGATTCAGAGGATGAGAACAAGCCATGGACACAGGTCATGGCGAGCACTGTTGGAAAGCTGTACGTCAAACTGTATCTTAGCTGCACGTCATTTCGCTGGCAACTTCGTAAGTGAAACACTGTACATTCCACATCAGTCTCTGCTAAGGCAAACCTCACTGCTGCAAGACTATTTGATTAAGTACTATGTGTAGTGGTGTTCTATTGATGATCCTCGACAGGCTGGATTTTGCACTTTAGATGCCTGCCTGGTCTTTGAGAAAGAGAAAGGCTTGCAGCAATTGCAGAAGGCCGGCTCGAACAACATATACACTTTCCTGCCACACCGGCTGCTGGATCCGGTGCCTGACGATGTCAAGCAGCGAGTCCAACATTTCTGGTACACAACTTATTGGAACAATGGAGAAGCCTTTGACTGTTTTATGTCAGCACTAACTCTAGCTATTCGAGGAGAAAACGTTGATCGAGCCTTCTGGGGAATTGGCTCTGGTGGGGTGGGGCAGAGCCTGCAGACCGCGCACTTGGAAGCAATTCTCGGGAGTTTTCACGCGTGCTTGGACATGAATATTTATTATTCTGACGAGGAGATGCGCAAGCAGGCTGCGTCACTTCTAGGAAAACTTGTCGTTACTGGCCAGGAGTCGGTGCAAGGCAGCCGTAGAGGCATGCGTGAGGACGTGTACAAGAAGCACATGTCGGCAGACAAGCTTCCTGAAAGATTGCCATACGCAATCGAGACACGACTTGTGGAGCTCCGTGGTTGGAAGCGGTTCGAGTTTAACATGTTGCCGAGGTCACTTGCCTGCAAGTTAGTGGTCACACTGTTTTCTGAACTGTCGACCCACACCTTCAAGCATGAACCTCACCAGCAAAGGTTCTTTGGCGTCAGCGAAGAGACTTTCAACTCCTTATTTCGACGATCGTTAGCTGTGCGCTACAAGGCTTTGTTCTTGGAGTTGAAGGACATAACGAACCAAGTGAAAGAGCCAGAGAAGAAAGGCATTTTTCCTAAAGATCCGACGTTGAAAGACTTTCTGCGATCGAAACCTGCGTGTCTCGTCACTCTGAGAGCTGTGTGGAATTACGCTTGCAGACACAGCGCCGCAGACTGCAGAAGCTGCCTGGAGGACTATGTTGTCGGTAAGAAGGATGAGGGTCTCACAGAAGCGTGTGTCCGGGAAGCGTGTGGACTCAAACCTCCTGACACGTCAGAAAACCGGGACAGTTCTCGGCTTCCCGGCTCGGTGACGAGCGATCTACCTGAAACAGACGGCGCAGGCCAGGAAGTAGATCCAGAAGTCTTACGGCTCTTACAACAACAGGCAGATGAGATTGAGGCTTGGATGATCGATGTCAATAAAGACTGGTGCACGCCTTCCCAGATAAAAACGGTCAAGGGCAAACATTTTTGGAAAGCGTTTAGTCGTCAAGATGCAGAGAACATTCTCAAAGCGCTGGCTGACAACAAGCTCATGCTCCAAAGCACTTTGACTCTTCAAAAACAAGGTCTTACCGAGATCTTTGCGCCGCAAATCCACACAGAGAAGTCCATGAAGGAGGTGGTCAATATGGATCATCACAGCTGCACAGTTTTCCCAGAAGTTTACGACTGTGAGGCATTGCGCCAACACATGCTCGAACACAAAGGACGTCTTGCAAATGACAAAGTTTTGCTGCAAGCCCATAAAAAAAGGTTGAACGACTTGAAGAAAAGCAAAGCCAGCGGTGCAGGTGCACCTACAAAAGTACAACGTACAGTCCAGGAGAATCAAGAAAACATGATACAGACAATGGGCGCCCGCCTTCGCATGGAGCAACAACTTTTCGATGACATGCAGAAGTGTGTGGAACAAGATGTGGAACTATTAGAGATGGTTATGCAGCGTACCTATTCGTACAAGCTTCAACACCGCTGTCGGCGCATGGTGGATGGGTTCGGCGCGCAAAGTTTCTCAAGGGTTTTTCGCAATATTGTTTGCAAGAACACACGGGATTTCGATTTCCACGCAAGCATGTTCACCATCGTGGTTCAGATGGTTGACAAACTCGGCGTGGCCTATCATAAAACACTGAAAGACTTAGCAGCTTGGCGTGCTGTGGCTAAGACTAGAGAGAAGGTTTGCGCAGAGATCCTGCAGTGCAGCCAGACCAGAGGAAAAGCTCTTCTTCTTCAGGTAGCTTGCGGTCGAGCTCTGTCCTCAGCCGATGATATTTGCGAGACTGGTCAGAAATTTTTGCATGATCTATCTAAAGAAAGCCGCTGCTTGCGTTGGCTTGCTCGGAGTCAGTGTCCAGATCTTTACCTGAGCGCGAAAGATGGTGCTGCCGCTCTAAAGCAAAGCAGTTGGCCAGAAGCAACGGTCTTTGCTTATTGGTGGAACGCTGCAGAAGACCTTTGTCTGAGCAGCATCTTGGATCTAGTTGCAGATGTTGAGGTGTCGCGCAAGCACATTTCCTTACACTTCGATGGTGTTCTACTGTCGACTGAGATTGTGCAGGCTGTCCAAGAAAAAAACGACATGAAAAGCTTTCCTCTTGTAGCAGAAGCCGCAATTTTCGAACGCACTGGCTTTCAGATCACCATTACTGAAAAGCGTTTCAGGTCACTGGCGCAAAGGTTGTCGGAGTTAGAAGGCACGTCTCTGCGTGTGGACGCTGCTGATGAGACAATGTTGACGCTACTCTCATCGCCTGGTAACTGCATACCTTTCGCGTACGCCTGTGTGACACAAGCCTGGCGTTTTGTGGAGGAGGCATTGCGGACAGTCAACCAAGCGAACACTCGCGCAGAGCAAGGTGGCTACAGATGCTACAAGGACTGGACAAAATGCAATCAGCGCTTCCTTCGGCCATGCTTTACGCTGCCTTCACTGCCAGGAACGGATTTTCTTGTGCACGCTAACGTTGGCAGTGCCCCGCAATGCTTTGGTGCGAAAGTCCTACCAGATAAGCAACTTCAAGTCTTCCACGAGCGCAAAGTGTACATGATGCCTGCTCCTGCCTTGCAGGAAATTCTTGATGAGTCTTGCGAAGCATGCAGCATTGTCTTTTTCTGTGTCCAAAGTACGGAGCCAACAGCAGTTGCTGGAGAGCAGCAGCTGCTGGATCTTGTCGCAGGCGCCAGTTCGAAGGATCGGATGGATTCTCAAGCTGGAGCTTCAGGGGCCGGTAGCGAAGCGACCGAAGCCGACGTTCAGGTTGGAATGCATCTACGAGAGCTCCTCAAAGATGAAGTCAAGAACCTCATTGCGAAAGTTCAACAGAACAAAGGATCAAGCTTCGGGTCGCAGGTCTGCCCTTTATGCCCATGGCGACGCTTCGATAAAAGAAGTTATTTGCTGACACATCTCACAAAACATCACAGCGAAAGCAAGCGCTTCGTGGCATCCGGTACGAAGCAGCTTCGCATTATTGCTGCCATGTACGATGACGATGCTGCGCGCAAGGCTGTTCATGGTAACTATATTCAACGTGCAGCCGAGCTTCTCAGGTGTCAAGTCAAGCCTGGTTGTTCTTCGAAAAGAAACATTATCGACAAGGAGATACGTATGTGCTTGAGCGCGAAGGGTCCATACTTTATGTCCTTGTCGAAAATCAAGGCAGCGAAGGATTTGCGACGCGTTGGCAATGTATATTACAACCAAGGATTTGCGAATGAATTTATGTGCAACGCCGTGGCCAGCCGCGCGTCCTTTCGACAGATTGCAGCAGCTTTCACATCCTCTTCTGCGCGCGACCACGGGGCATTGTGTTCTATGTTGCCAGAAGCAAGCCATTCATTCTGGTGCAACGTGTTGGAGGACATAGTCCAATCACCACAGATCAAATCCAGAGTTCAAACGCTTTTACAAGAATGCGAAGATCATACGGAGTTCCAGTACTTGAGCATTGACGCGACTGTGAAATGCATCTTGGTTCTCTTCTGGTTGGCTCTTAGGACTTTAACTTTTTTGGGCATGGTGGGAACTACAATAAGGAGCCTAAAAGTTAAACTTTTAGGAGGGGTTCAGAAGTCATGCAAGGCATGATGAAAGTTATTGGTCAGGCGCATTTCAACAGCAGTCAAGACGTGCGTGACGCTGCAGCCATTACAGATTCCGAAGCTGCCTACAAACTTCTAACGGTTCGCGGACGAACGAATGCTGTAGTCGGCCTGTGCGGCGTTCGATCAGAAGGCTCCCCAGTGATTTCGACTGCCTTAGCCAGTCTATTGTCACCGTCCCAACGAGCGCAAGTTATTCACATTGCTTCCGATGCACCGAGCGTCGAGCTTTTAGCGACACTCAAGAATACGTTTTCGAATCTACAATCCCTTGGTTTGGATGCGATGCATATCGTGATGGTTTACGAGCAGAACTTCAGCAACAAGAAAACCACAGGCAGCAGATGGTTAGCTACCGTGATGAATAAGTTTCGCAATATACAGGCAGGATGCCCGGCAGCTGCCTGGGGACCTATGTACACTGGACAGCAGAAGCCTTCTTACACAGCTGAAGAAAAGAGACTGTCGGCGTTGATTTCTGACGCAAGTATGCCTGAGGCTGAAGCAGTACACGTGCTGCAGAACTTGGACCCCGACAGTCCTTGGCGAACAGAAGCACAATTCCTGGAAGCCATGGCTGCTATATGTGCTTTGTTTCAGGACGAACTCACAAAAACCACTTTCTCGGGCCCAACGTTACATCGTCTTCTGATTAATCTTACATCTCCAGTGAAAATCCAGTGGCTCTTCAACGACACCCGATATCGGCATGTCTGTTTGCCTTCTCAGACACCGTTGCTGCCTAGCGGTACGACATCTAATGAGTCACTTCATCACGAGCTGAATAGCTGGTTTCATGAGATTGTTTCTCGGTGAAAATTTTGCATTTTTCTCTTTATTCATCGCGACAGAGCTTAGAATAGTTCTTTGTCTGATAAACAAGTGAGAACTCAGGTGGCTATGCATCGCTCCACGCTAGAAACCAAGCTTCTTTTCTTTCAATTCGTGAAACTTGGTAGCCATAATATGTCATTGTACCATCCTTTGCAACGCCAAAATACACAGAAGCAAATAGCGCATCGTCTGATTGGCATGGCGGACATATGGGATGCCACCACCTGGAAGAAATGGTGTGCCGATCTGAAACAACATGAGCGTATGCCGAAAAAAGCATTGCTTGCTGGCGCAGAGCAGCGCAAGGCTACTCGGGCAGCAGTCAAGGCTACTCAAGCACGTGTCAAGGCAGCGCCAAAACCGCTTCCGAATATTCTTAAGCGGCCTAGCGCCGCAATTCCTCCGCCGCCGAAAAGGCAGCGAACGAGACGCCATCCCTTTGCACTCCGCGTCGTAGCGCCTTTGATTCGCCCAGGACGCCACAAGACCCGTGTGCCAACAGCATGCCAGTAAGGTGGCTGCGTTGCACTTAACTTTGTTTCAGGTCAGATACTTTTTGTACAGTGTACAGGACGCATTGCGTGCGAGAGTCTGAGAGTCTGAGATTGCGAAGCCAAAACATTTTTATTCCGACATGCCCGTCTGAGTGCAAAACATGTAGGCCATTCATTCCTGAGGATGCAGGTCATCAAGTCAATTCTAAAACGGTTCCCCGCCCTCTGCTTAGGCTGGGGGTGGCAACAGGAACGCAGCGGTAACGTACGTGTGAATGCACGGTTAAGGTTTGGAATCACGGTTAAAATTTAGGATGTCGGTTATCGATTCCTTAGGATGCAGGTCGTCGCTGCCCCCGACATCGCCTGACAAGGATAATATGATTTATCGCCTTCCTCTAGGCTCAGCGGCTGGGAGCGGCAACCAGGGCGCGGCGGTAGCGCGCGTGGGAATGCACAGTCAAGGTTTAGAATCAGGGTTAGAGTTTAGGATGTAGGTCATCCATTCCTGAGGATGCAGGTCATCGAGCAATTTCTGAAACGGTTCCCCGGGGTGGCAACCGGGGCTCGTCGGCAGTGTGCGTGTGAACGCACGGTAAAGGTTTGGAATCAGGATTAGAGTTTAGGATGCGTGTCATCGATTCCTTGGGATGCAGGTCATCGAGTTTAGGCCCAAATTAGCATCACGTAATATTATTCCAGCACATATACTGCTGCAGTTCTGCGTCCGAAAAGGGAAATTCTGCATCGGTTTCCGGGACACGTCGGTAGACTGCGTGCAAATCAACGGTTAAAGTTTAAATGAGAGTGTTTAGGATGCAGGCCACTGTCCTTAGGGTGCAGGTCATCACTGCGCCCAAAAAGGGAAATTCTAAAACGGTTCCCCGCCCTCCGCGTCCGAAAAAGGAAATTCTGAATCGGTTTCTTACCTTGCGTAGGCCGGGGTGGCAGCTGGGCACGGCCGAAGCGTGCGTGTGCATGCACAGTTAAGGTTTAGAATCAGGGTTAGAGTTTAGGATGTCGGTCATCGATTCCTTAGGATGCAGGTCCTTGCTGTGCCCGAAAAGGGAAATGCTAAAACGGTTCCCCGCCCTCCGGTGAGGCTGGGGGTGGCAACCGGGGCGCGGCCATAGTGTGCGTGTGAATGCACAGCTAAGGTTTGGAATCAGAGTTAGAGTTTAGAAAGCAGGACATCGAGTCCTTAGGATGCAGATCATCGAGTTTAAGCTCAAGCCAGTGCGACGTAATACTTGTCCAGCGCATCTACTGCCGCAGCGCTGCGTCCGAAAAAGACAATTCTGAATCGGTTTCCCACCTTCCGCGTAGGTCATCGCGCGGCGGTAGCGTGCGTGTCAGTGCACAATTAAGGTTTTTAGTCATGGTTAGTGTGTAGGATGCAGGTCATTGGGTCCTTAGGATGCAGGTCATCGATGCGCCCGAAAAGGGAAATTCTAAAACGGTTCCCCGCCCTCCGTTTCGGCTGGGGGTGGCAACCGGGGCGCGGCGGTAGCGTGCGTGTGAGTGCACAGTTAAGGTTTAGAATCATGGTTGGTGTGTAGGACGCAGATCGTTGAGTCCTTATAGGATGCAGGTCATCGCTGCGCCCGAAAAGGGAAATTGTAAAACGGTTCCCCGCCCTCCGCTTCGGCTGGGGGTGGCAACCGGGGCGCGGCGGTAGCGTGCGTGTGAGTGCACAGTTAAGGTTTAGAATCAGGGTTAGTGTGTAGAATGCAGGTCATTGAGTCCTTAGGATGCAGGTCATCGCTGCGCCTGAAAAGGGAACTTCTAAAACGGTTCCCCGCCCTCCGAATCGGCTGGGGGTGGCAACCGGGGCGCGGCGGTAGCGTGCGTGTGAGTGCACAATTAAGGTTTAGCATCAGGGTTAGTGTGTAGGATGCAGGTCATTGAGTCCTTAGGATGCTGGTCATGGCTGCGCCCGGGGCGTGGCGGTAGCGTGCCTGTGAGTGCACACTTAAGGTTTAGAATCAGAATGCAGGTCAGCGGCGGTAGCGTGCCTGTGAGTGCACAATTAAAGTTTAAAATCAGGGTTAGTGTGTAGAACGCAGGTCATTGAGTCAGGTCATCGCTGCGCCCGAAAAGGGAAATTCTAAAACGGTTCCCCGCCCTCCGCTTCCGCTGGGGGTGGCAACCGGGGCGCGGCGGTAGCGTGCCCGTGAGTGCACAATTAAGGCTTAGAATCAGGTTTAGTGTGTAGGATGCAGGTCATTGAGTCCTTAGGATGCAGGTCATCGCTGCGCCCGAAAAGGGAAATTCTAAAACGGTTCCCCGCCCTCCGCTTCGGCTTGGGGTGGCAACCGGGGCGCGGCGGTAGCGTGCGTGTGAGTGCACAATTCAGGTTTAGAATCATGGTTAGTGTGTAGGATGCAGGTCATTGAGTCCTTAGGATGCTGGTCATCGCTGCGCCCGAAAAGGGAAATTCTAAAACGGTTCCCCGCCCTCCGCTTCGGCTGGGGGTGGCAACCGGGGCGCGGCGGTAGCGTGCGTGTGAGTGCAAAATTAAGGTTTAGAATCAGGGTTAGTGTGTAGCATGCAGGTCATTGAGTCCTTAGGATGCAGGTCATCACTGCGCCTGGGGGTGGCAACCGGGGCGCGGCGGTAGCGTGCGTGTGAGTGCACAATTAAGGTTTAGAATCATGGTTAGTGTGTAGGACGCAGGTCATTGAGTCCTTAGGATGCAGGTCATTGCTGCGCCCGAAAAGGGAAATTCTAAAACGGTTCCCCGCCCTCCGCTTCGGCTGGGGGTGGCAACCGGGGCGCGGTGGTAGTGTGCGTGTGAGTGCACAATTAAGGTTTAGAATCAGGGTTAGTGTGTAGAATGCAGGTCCTTGAGTCCTTATAGGATGCAGGTCATCGCTGCGCCCGAAAAGGGAAATTGTAAAACGGTTCCCCGCCCTCCGCTTCGGCTGGGGGTGGCAACCGGGGCGCGGCGGTAGCGTGCGTGTGAGTGCACAGTTAAGGTTTAGAATCAGGGTTAGTGTGTAGAATGCAGGTCATTGAGTCCTTAGGATGCAGGTCATCGCTGCGCCTGAAAAGGGAAATTCCTAAACGGTTCCCCGCCCTCCGCTTCGGCTGGGGGTGGCAACCAAGCGTGCGTGTGAGTGCACAATTCAGGTTTAGAATCATGGTTAGTGTGTAGGATGCAGGTCATTGAGTCCTTAGGATGCTGGTCATCGCTGCGCCCGAAAAGGGAAATTCTAAAACGGTTCCCCGCCCTCCGCTTCGGCTGGGGGTGGCAACCGGGGCGCGGCGGTAGCGTGCCTGTGAGTGCAAAATTAAGGTTTAGAATCAGGGTTAGTGTGTAGGATGCAGGTCATTGAGTCCTTAGGATGCAGGTCATCACTGCGCCTGGGGGTGGCAACCGGGGCGCGGCGGTAGCGTGCGTGTGAGTGCACAATTAAGGTTTAGAATCATGGTTAGTGTGTAGGACGCAGGTCATTGAGTCCTTAGGATGCAGGTCATTGCTGCGCCCGAAAAGGGAAATTCTAAAACGGTTCCCCGCCCTCCGCTTCGGCTGGGGGTGGCAACCGGGGCGCGGTGGTAGCGTGCGTGTGAGTGCACAATTAAGGTTTAGAATCAGGGTTAGTGTGTAGAATGCAGGTCATTGGGTCCTTAGGATGCAGGTCATCGATGCGCCCGAAAAGGGAAATTCTAAAACGGTTCCCCGCCCTCCGCTTCGGCTGGGGGTGGCAACCGGGGCGCGGCGGTAGCGTGCCTGTGAGTGCAAAATTAAAGTTTAGAAGCAGGGTTAGTGTGTAGGATGCAGGTCATTGAGTCCTTAGGATGCAGGTCATTGCTGCGCCCGAAAAGAGAAATTCTAAAACGGTTCCCTGCCCTCCGCTTCGGCTGGGGGCGGCAACCGGGGCGCGGCGGTAGCGTGCCTGTGAGTGCACAATTAAAGCTTAGACTCAGGGTTAGTGTATAGTAGGATGCATGTCATTGAGTCCTTAGGATGCAGGTCATCGCTGCGCCCGAAAAGGGAAATTCTAAAACGGTTCCCCGCCCTCCGCTTCGGCTGGGGGTGGCAACCGGGGCGCGGCGGTAGCGTGCCTGTGAGTCCAAAATTAAGGTTTAGAATCAGGGTTAGTGTGTAGGATGCAGGTCATTGAGTCCTTAGGATGCAGGTCATCACTGCGCCTGGGGGTGGCAACCGGGGCGCGGCGGTAGCGTGCGTGTGAGTGCACAATTAAGGTTTAGAATCATGGTTAGTGTGTAGGACGCAGGTCATTGAGTCCTCAGGATGCAGGTCATTGCTGCGCCCGAAAAGGGAAATTCTAAAGCGGTTCCCCGCCCTCCGCTTCGGCTGGGGGTGGCAACCGGGGCGCGGTGGTAGCGTGCGTGTGAGTGCACAATTAAGGTTTAGAATCAGGGTTAGTGTGTAGAATGCAGGTCATTGGGTCCTTAGGATGCAGGTCATCGATGCGCCCGAAAAGGGAAATTCTAAAACGGTTCCCCGCCCTCCGCTTCGGC